GCTCCCCCAACCACAGGACCGCACCTAGACCAGCATCACTGTGCAGCTCTGTGATTGGCAAAGAGACGGGGGATGCCTGAGTGACACCCTCAGCATCCTATCAGGGTCGCTACAATATACATTAATGTTAGGGATGCTCCGATCGATCGGCCGCCGATCGTTATCGGGCGATATTCACTCTCGGCCGATCGATCGGTGCTCTCTATAAAGGCCGATCAGGAGAGCCGATCACATGACGTAAAATACATGACACTTTTCTCTGTGCCTGGCAAAACAACATCGCCAAAATGGCTTCACTGGCAGTATTTTAAGGTGTCCGAAAAAGACAATAAAATAGCGGTATGCTCCGTGTGTGTGAAACAGAAATCCTGCCGCTGTGACGGACCAGTAAGCAGAGCAAAACACACACATCTAGTTAGACCTAACATATTTAGCTATTTTATCTACCTCCTGAACAAGCTAAACTAGTTATAAATATGTTTATTCTTCATTGTCGGGTCACTCATTACTGGATCAGTGAGCTGCATGAGGTACTGACAGGCTGTCAGGGGAGGGAGAGAGAGAGAGAGAGAGTGAGAGAAGAAATGAGAGCGCTTCCGCTCATTTCTCAGACATCTCCTGTTTCTCCTAACCCTCCAACAAAGCAATCTAATTTACATCAGAATCAGAATGTTTTTATTTTTTTTATTTTTTTTTACAATGTGACACAGGGCTCGGTCCGGATTGATTTGCAGTTCGGTCCGGATGCGGACCTTGATCCGGAGTTTGAGAAGCCCTGCACTAAACTGAGATTGTCAGTTCCCCTCATTCCCCTTCACTGTCGTCCTCCTTCTGGACCTTTCCACTGTGTTCAACATTAAGTTTAAATGAAAAATATGAGGTTCAAGTCAATATTATTGCTTTCAACTGACTTAATTTAGTTATGTGACATTTGTTGACATAATACATTTAATTAAAGTCAATGTCTCAGTTTTTTCAGTGAAGTAACCCACGAGATCTTTCTTCACACCCTCCAATAACTATTGGAGTCTCAGGCTGTGCACTCTCCCTGCTCACGTCCTTCTTCAAAGACTGAACCTAAAGGGTAACTTGGAGTGGAGTTGTGTCCGACCCTCCTCACTGAGGTCCCTCAAGGGTCCATCCTGGGTCCCCTTTGCTTTTCTCTGTTCACCAATGCGTTGGCTCTGTCATTCCATACATTTGTTTATATCTTGTTTTCAATATAAGACGTGGTCGACACATGCAGAGGCCTGATCTGATTTAACTATTGGTAGCTGCTATCTGATAGAAGCAGTTTTATTCAGGCGAGGATTCTCTCAGTGTCTTGATGATGTTGAGCTCAAGCTTTTGGTGGTTGTGAGAAGCAGAAACCAAAGTTTTGACTTGTTTAGTTTTTGTACATCATTTTTCCTTTGTGTGTCACTGTGTCTCTCTGGCACAGTAATACACTGCTGTGTCCTCGGCCTTCAGACTGTTCATCTGCAGATACACTTTACTGCTGGAGTCATCTCTGGAGATAGTGAATCTACCCTGGACCGACTGAGAATAAGATATAGGAGTACTCTGAGTGTGTATCCTTTTCCATAGTGAGCCTCCAAAGTTGAATCCAGATGTTGTGCAGGTGAGTCTGTGAGATTCTCCGGGTTTCCTGACTGCTGGTTCAGACTCAGTTATTGTCTGACCTTCAGCGACAGACCAAACAAACAGAGCAACCACCAAGAGTGTTAGCTTTCCCTGAGACATGTTCACACAGTTTCTTGTGTTTTCAAAAGCTTGAATCCCTCTTTAAATATGAAGTAAACTTGATCCCTTTGAGAATTAATTTGACGATTAGCTCCTCCTACTTCACATTCTGCTGTTAAAGTCAAATTCAAGGCTATAAAATAGCATTAAACATAATTTAAGCCAACACCAAATAGTTATTTAAGGCAATTGTTGACAAAAATGAACTGTTGATTAAATTAAGATACTATAATTATTATTTTTCAACGAAAGATCCAGTTGATTATTTTTATTTAATTTGACTATAACTCATATGAGTAACATAAAAGCTTTATTTCTAATCATTGTTTTAGTTGGAACAATTCGAAACTAATTCAGAAATTGGTTGAACGATATGTTTTTATTTTTTTATTTTGTAACTGCAATGAAGGAAAGCATGATAGTCTAAATGTTTACTTGTGTTTGCTGCAGCTGGATGAAGAACAGGGTTTTGTTTCTTTTTTTACTTTTAAAGGTTTCAGTATTCAAATAGTGGCAATTTGAGGACAGATACAGAGAAACTTGGAGCCTTAAGAGGACATAAACTACTAAGGAACTGAAACCTATTTGACAATGTGCAAAAACACATTTCTGCAGTGCATGAAAAATGCAAACTAAATAAGTTAAAAGACGTAGGGTCTCAGATTAGACCATTTTCTAAATGTTAGCACATACATGCTTTTTATGGTTCAGCTGCTGTCTTCTCTAAAGAGACATTTTGATATGAGTCTGTCATGCAATAAACATGATAACTCTATTTAGTGATTTCATTGCAATCTGTTAAGGAATATTTTTCTAATCGTACAGTGTTTGGTGTAACTACCGTTGTGTCATGATATTGAAAGACTCCAAATCTCACATTAACAGTGTGAGAAAACTGTGGTAATAATGAGGGGTTTTTGTACAGCTGCTCAACCAGCTTCAGTCACTGTGTGTCTCGAGCACAGTAATAAACAGCAGAGTCTACAGCCGTCAGACTGCTCATCTGCAGATACACCTGCTGTATGTTGTTGCTGGAGCCGGTGAACCGGCCTTTCACTGACTCAGAGTAGTATATGTCGCTACTGCTAGTAGGGTGGATCCAAGCGATCCACTCCAGTCCTTTTCCAGGAGCCTGTCTGATCCAGGCCACCCAGTAGCTACTGAATGTGTATCCAGAAGTCGTACAGGTCAATCTGTGAGATTCTCCAGGCCTTTTAGTCACAGATTCAGATTCTGTCAGAGTCTGACCATCAACACCTGTAAAGAGGATAAAAACACATCTGGTGAAATAAGCTGTTGACACAATTAGAAGC